TTCCGAGTCTGGGAATAGCTCCGTATGGTGATTCTGGTGTTGGGAGCGCGATCGGAAGTGAATTCGGAGGTCTGTGGGTCATTTTGGAGTCTTTTGGCTAAAGATAGAAATTTGAAGGTTTTGAGGAGTTTGACCGGAAGTGGACTTTTTGATATCGAGGTCGGATTTCGATTGCCGGATGTTGGAGTAGGTCCGTAATGTCGAATATGACTTGTGTGCAAAATTTGAGGTTAATCGGACGTGATTTGATAGGTTTCGGCATCGAATATAGAAATTTGAAATTCTAAAGTTTATTAAGGTTGGATTGGAGTGCGATTCATGATTTTAGCGTTGTTTGACGTGATTTGAGGCTTCGAGCAGGTCCATGTTATGTTAGGGGACTGAGTTGTGTGATTGGACGGGGTCCCGGGAGCCTCGGGTGTGTTTCGGGGTGGTTTCGGAGCATTTCGGGTTGTGTTGGAACTGCTGATGCTGGTGTCTGGTGTTGTTCTTTGCGTTCGCGAGGGTCCTCCCACGTTCGCGAAGAAGGATTTGGCTTCTGGGATTTTGTTCTTCGTGTTCACGGAGAGAGTCCCGCGTTCGCGAAGCAGAAGAATTTCTGTTGCGCATGTCTTACTTCGAAGACTCATACCTCACAATCTACAAGGAATTTGGAGATGATACAAAAATGAAAGTTGTAGCGCTTTGTGTCTAGTTTTCATAAAGGTAAACCATTTAGTATTTGGATTTGTGTACCAAAAGTTATGGCTGGTACACTACAGGCTGTTTGGGAAGATGAAGAAGAAATTTGTGTTTCACAGAGCTGACTTTGGCAGCTTTTATCTCAAAATCTATAAAGAATTGGGAAATTTCCAAAATATGAAAGTTGTAGATCTTGGTGTCTAGTTTTCAAAATATTAAACCATTTATCATTTGGAGTTTTGTACAGAACGGTATAGCCATTATACTAGAGGCTGTCTGAGAAGAGTTTGAAAAATGATTTTTGGGAATTTTCTTCTTCGCGAACGCCATGGGGGTCTCGCGAACGCGAAGAAGAGTCGTCTGGGCAGCGTATAAGTGTAAAGAAATGGGTTTGGCTCATTTCATCTCATTTCCTCCAAGGGAGCCGACCTAGGAGCGATTTTGGAGTTCCATTTTCATCATCCATGTCATGGTAAGTGATTCCCACCTATTGCAAGTTAATTACTTGGATTATATCTAGATTTTAACATGGAAAATCATGGGAAATTAGTGAAAATTGGGGTTTTTAAGAAAAACCTAGAAATTTGGTATTCTTGAATTTTGACCACGATTTGGGCACGAAATGGGAGTAAATTATAAATTTGAGTTCGTGAGGTTATGGATAGACTTTATCTTCAAAAAAATTCGGAACCCAGGCACGTGGGTCCGAGGAAAATTTTGTCAACTTTTCGATCGGGGTTAGGAATTATTATAAATTGGATTGTAATGAGTAATTGATCATATATTAATGATATACATAATTATTGGCTAGTTTTGGAGCAATGTGCATCGATTCGAGTTTTCGGAAGGGCGTGGAATGCCGGTTATGGAACTTCCGAGCGAGGTGAGTTTCCTTTCTAACCTTGTAAGAGGGAATTATCCCCATAGGTGAATTAATTGGATATGTGCTGCTATTTGTGGGGGCTACGTACGCACGAGGTGACGAGAGTCCGTGCGTAGCTGCTATTATGCTTCTGTCCGGGTAGTCTAGGACCCAAAAGCGTGCTTTACTTGTAATAATTGTAACCTTATTGATAGTTTAAAATGCTTAAATCATACCGAAGTGGCAAATGACTTTGTAAAAGAGTTAAACTTCATTTTCTTGACCTGTAAAGAGGAATTTACACCTCCTTGAATATTTGTTTCCCTGATGAAGTCTTGATTGACTGTTTGAATGTGTGTTTCTATGTGTACCTGCGTCGCATTTTTGATTCGCGAGCAGGGTGATTGTTTTTTTATATTTGACCGCGTCGCATGTATGATTCGCGAGCGGGGTAATAGATGCATCTATGGTTCGCGCCATTCGACTCTCTGGCAGTGCACAATTTAAATATTGTTGGATTGGGCCGTACGACCTCGGCATGATTTGCGCATGCTTGTAATGTTTGCCTTGAGATTTATAAATGTTGATATTCGTTTTCCCTGGCCTGAGATAAATGTATAAATGATGAAAAGGAATCTGGAAATTTCCTATGAAAAAAAGAATTATTTATTTGCTTTATTCTATTGAGTTGCAACCATGTTTATAAAATCTTTGATTTATTATATTATTGGCATATTATTATTGGACCACTAGTAAGTGTAGAAGTCGACCTCTCGCCTCTACTTCTTCGAGATTAGCCGGGATACTTACTGAATACACGTTGTTTTCGTACTCATGCTACACTTGCTGTGCATTTTTGTTGCACATGCACATGTATCTCTAGTGGCCTAGTGGGCGTAGCAGCATGGATGATACGGAGACTAGGTGAGCTGCATTCCTCGAGGCGACCCGCAGCCAGTATAGTCTCTTTCAGTGTATTGTAATTACTTTCTGTCTAATTTGTATTCCTGACAGTTATTGTACTTTATTTGATTTCTTAGTGATTGCTCATGCACTTGTGACACCGGATTCTGGGATGATTATGGGATTATTTAATATTAAGTTTGTTAAAGACATCAATATCTATTCAGTGAAATTCATTACTCATTGTTTAATGTATAAAGGAAACGATTTCAAAAATATTAAAACAAGAAATTACTAGTAAATTGGAGTTGGCTTGCCTGACAATGGTGTCCGGCGCCATCACGACCCTTAATGGATTTTGGGTCGTGACATAAAAAATGAATCAAAAAAAGAATTATAAAAATAAATTAAAAAAAAGGAGATTCAAGAAATAACCTTATAATTATACCATATAATTAATAATAATTCTCAGATTTTCTTAAAAACTGGGGAGTTTATTACAACCAATTACCATTAGACTCAAATCCAATGACATGGTAGCTTTCCAAATAGGCCCTTAACAAAAATGAATGTACCTCTCTGATAGTAAAGCTCTTTCCCAGGTAAGCTCTACTAATACTAATAAAGAGTGAGATGGGACCGGGTTCACGTGTCAAATGTCGTAAGTGGTCCCCAAAAACACAACGCTCTTTCTTTCTTGCTAGGTGTCTGTGTCGCACGTGCGTGGCCGACAGATGAAAAGTGCCATTCATTTTATTGATGATATATTTATTACTAGTAGTCCCGGTTCACAATAAGTAACCAATTTATTTTAGGCACACCCATTAAGAAAAATTATATTCCAAATAAAAATAATTAGTGTGATTAAATTACACTTAATTAAATATTGCAGCATAATTTAATATAATGAGTAAAAGATTTTTTAGGGATATATAAGTAATTTTGGAAAAAATAAATTGAATTTTTTCTTCATTATATAAATGGATATTTATTTTGGACCAAAATAAAAAGACAAATTAGTCACTTATTCTGCACGGGAGGAAGTAGTAAAATATTAAGGTAGGCCCCAGTCCCACGCTTATATGTGCTCGTACTTTGTCCCTTACTCTTAGAAAATGGCATCGCCTTAATTTTATTGGACTAATAGCCTGTTTGGCCAAGCTTCTTCTTGGTCAAAAGTGTTTTCTTCTTTCCAAAAGCACTTTTTTGAGAAGCACTTTTGAGAAAAATACACTTAGAAGCAGTTTTTTAAAGCTTGGCCAAACACTAATTGCTGCTCAGAAGTGCTTTTCAAACTAATTAGCCAAACACAAACTGCTTCTCACCAAAAGTACTTTTGAAAAAAAGCACTTCTCAAAATAAGCTGATTTTTGCAGCTTGGCCAAACGAGCTATAAATGAGCCCCTCCCCCCTCAAGTCTCGGGAAATCAGCGAAAAAGAAAATATTTATGATAAAAAAATGGATTAGGTCTAATTTAACCCAAAAACTAGTTCAAGAATTTATTGACTGACACTATTATTATATAAAGAGACCAAAGAACCTCATTCCCACCAATGTGGAATATCCAACAATTAGTTCATCCCTGTTTGGACATATTTAGTTGAAATCGTAAAAAATAAATAGTTGAAGTTGAGGTTAAAAAATTGCATTGGAAATTCAAATTTTGTTTTAACATGAATTCACTTGAAAAAAGTTGAAGCACTTTTAGGCAAAAATTATTATTTCACTTAAAGTATTCCTCAAACTGGTTTTTCAACTTCAAGATCTTTATTTAAATTAAAATTGAAATATTGAACAAAATTATAAAGCAATATTTATTTGCAAATAATAAATACTATGTCCAAACAATAAAAGTTGTTTACACACTTACAGGTTTCATTTTTCACTTACAAAGTTATGCAATATGAATATTATCTTGCTCCTAATTCACAGATTTTAAGCTAAGCTTTCTAAAACACCGATACAAAATGCGTCCATTTATGAAAGAATAATGCAATTTTTTTTTTCTGTTGAAACACAATAACACGATATGTTTATTCTGTACGGCGAATAAAATACCATCACAGAAAATGAAGCCTACTAAATTATTCTATCCATTTAATTAATGCAGTGATATTTGATTTGATTAAAGTTTATTTCTTTTTCGAAACTTATAATTTAAATTGACTGTAATATTACGTAAATATAAAAATTCATAATAAATTGAGAAATTTAAAATTAAATTCCTTCAAAATACAAAAGTATGTTTTTTTTGTCTAAAGAAAGCACTCTCTCTCTTCCAAAAAAATAATACTTTTCGAATTTCGAGAGTCAAACAAGTTACTTTTTACCACCTCTTACCTTTTTTTTTTACCTTTGGAATATTTTAAAATATTTATTATTATATTTATTATAGTACTTTTTATATAGTTTATAAATATATAAATTTTTTAAAAGTTTTATATCCAAATTAATAATCAAAATAAGAATTTTAATTTTAAAAATTCAAAAAAAAAATCTTATTCTTCTTGAGACGAAGGAAGTATTAAATAGGGGAGTATAAAACCAGCAAAGGAGCATATTATTTTGTTGTGAAATACATGAAAGAGAAGAAAGCAGAGATAATCTTAAGGCGGGCGCCAAGGTCTCTTAGATTCCAATAAAGAAAAGTTTTTCAGCATCGTGAAACTAATAAGCCTTTCCTCCTTCTTTGCGTCCCATTCCCACACTCACTTCCTCTTCGTAAAGAGTCGTCGCCGGTGACAGAATGACGGCTGCCGGTGATAGAATGACATCCGGCGGATCATCGGGGCGGTTGCCGACGTGGAAGGAGAGGGAAAACAATAAGAGGAGAGAAAGGAGAAGAAGAGCTATCGCAGCCAAAATATTTACTGGGCTACGAGCTCAAGGTAACTTCAAACTTCCCAAACACTGTGATAATAACGAGGTCTTAAAAGCTCTCTGTCTTGAAGCTGGTTGGGTCGTTGAAGATGATGGCACCACTTATCGCAAGGTCAGAACTTTACTCTTATTTTTTTTTTTTGGGTCAATTTACTTCTGGGTTTATTGATTTATGATGTTAGATCTGTATTCCTGCAAAAAGCAAGTGGATCTGGAGATTAAACCTACGAAAATTAGAGTCTTGAATGGTCAAAGTTTGAGCAATTGCAATTGGATCTTGTGTTTTTTTAACTGTTTGATTTCAGGTTCTAAAAAATGTTTAAAGATTCGTTCTTTGTATGTCAGTTTGGTTTCTTTGTTGGATCTTATGTTTTTGATTGCGGATTCAGAATCTAAATTTGATGGTTTTTCATTGTACTTTTGAAATTATGGATTCAGAGATTTTTGTTGAAATTTTTGTGGGCAACTGGATGAATATAAAAAATTCATACTGCTGACGCCAAATAGCTTGAGAATGAGGTGCAAGTGTTGTTCTTTTGAAATTTGGATCTGAAATATTCTAGCTTTTTAGGAGTTTCTAAAGTGGTAATGAAGTTGGGAGGTTATGAGGAGATGGATAACCTGTATATTTTCACCTTTTCTCATTTGATTCCTTATGTTTATGAATTGCTGCAATTTCTGGTCAGAGCTGAAGTCTCAGTGTTCTATGCTTAGATTAGCAGAATGGACATGGAGTATTCATATGACCGACCTCAACAAATTTTGAGATTGAACATAGCTGTTGTGGTGTTGTATAGATTGGTCAAATGCTCGTAAATAAAGGAATCTTTCCTCTCAACCATTTCGGGTTAAGAATATAACAACTCCTCTAGCATCTGTCAATTCGTTCATCAAGTTTGCAGTACTTATATTGGAATAAATTACTGTTTTGTCCTTGAAGCTGTAAATGGATTCGCTGCTGAAGTGTTACATATGATGAATGGCTGCGGATATGTAGTTTAACCATCTACGCTGATTCAGATCATGTTTCTTTTCCTGATAATTTAATTTCTTTAATTTCAGGGAAACAGGCCTCCACCAATGGAAAATGGTGGTGCCTCAATGAATATCAGCGCATGCTCATCGATTCAGCCGAGCCCAATGTCATCGTCTTACCCTAGTCCTGTACCTTCTTACCATGCCAGCCCAACATCATCCTCATTCCCTAGCCCCTCCCGTTGTGACGGAAACCCCCCATCATACATCCTCCCCTTTCTCCATAACCTAGCTTCCATTCCCTCTTCTCTTCCACCTCTTCGTATATCTAACAGTGCCCCTGTTACCCCACCTCTTTCTTCTCCTACCCGAGGCTCAAAGCCCAAACCTGTCTGGGAATCCCTCTCCAGTGTTCCATTGCATTCTTTCCACCACCCGCTTTTTGCTGCTTCTGCACCATCAAGTCCCGCCCGCCGCCAATACTCCAAGCCTGCTACAATTCCAGAATGTGACGAGTCTGATGTCGCCTCAGTTGAGTCTGCACGCTGGGTCAGCTTCCAGACGGTGTCACCTTCAGCTGCTCCAACTTCGCCTACTTTTAACCTTGTAAAGCCTGTTCCTCAGCAGAATATTCTCTTAGATGCCTTAAGTGGCCGTGGGGCTTTTGGCTGGGGTGAAGCAGCTCAAAAGGGACATGGCTCTGAATTTGATTTTGAAAGCTGCAAAGTGATGGCATGGGAAGGTGAGAGAATACATGAAGTTGCTGTCGATGATTTAGAGCTCACTCTTGGGAGTGGAAAGCCACGTGCTTAAGCTCTTAATAAAGGACATTATTTAGATAGAGGATAATGAAAATGGAGGTGTTTAATTATCAAAAAAGTCAAAATAGTAAACGGAGGAGCTTATTATATCTCGGAATCTGCAATGTTGCAGTTCGCATCCGAGTTTTTACATCAATTGTGCACTATAAGCCATATTGTGCCAGGCTAATAGGATGTCATTTGTAAATTCTCCCACTATACCTGAGAACTTGATGTTGAACATGGGGGTTTGTTGTTGTCTCTATTGTACAGTTCTCTAAGCAAGTGATCACTATATGAAGCTAACACGTTTATTGCCTTGATCGTGAGAGCAGCCTCCTTCGAGCTAGATGTATCCAGGAATTGTAAAGTCAAACCTAGGGAAGGAAGCAATGAAGTTACCCTCATTCCTTGTTTATTTTAGAGCTTCTCTTGCTGTAATGTATCTTAGTCATGAACTCATGGATCTTGTGTGTTTGTATTTGGCTGGGTTTGCAAGTCCCTCATATGACATTGTATCAGCAAGAGGGAGTTGGATTTCTAATTTGTCGTGTAGACAGTGTGATGCAACATGGGGATCACCGATCACATTAATTTTGAGCTTTAACTTACTGAATTACTAGATGTTAAATATGAAGAGAACACTGTATTTGAGATTTGCTTTTTTGCTTCTTTAGTTGATGGTCTTGTCAGTTAACCCTTCTCCCTCTAGTAAGTTTGAAGTGACTTATACTTGAGGTTGAAGCTTCTGTCCTTGGTGACAACTTAGGGGTTGTTTGGTTTGAAGAGAAGGCGGTACTAAATTTTATCCCACGATTATTTTTGTTTATCCATCATACCAAACGACACCTTAGGGAATGGAAGGATAGGCAACCAAAAAGCATATGAGAACATATTTGCAGAGAAGTTGCAACCAAAAAGCATATGAGAACATATTTGCAGAGAAGTTAGAATAGACTTGGACCTTTTTATAACAGCATTCCTATATAATAACACTTTACTTATGAGCCAAGCTTTTCCGGAACCAAATTTCATGTTAGGTTGTAATATATGTTCTTTATAACAGCACTTCGCTATAATATTCAAAAATATTCGGATCAAATGATGCTGTTATAGAAAGATTTGACTGAAGGATAAGAATCGGAGAATATGAAAGGGACTGACTCGTGTAAGGGCATTCATTGGAGTTCAAAGGGATCCAACTTGTATTTGCTTCTTATCTTGGAACTCAATGCGCTGTGATATTTGTTTCTTTCTGGTCAAATGAGCATCTTAGAAAAAAGGCCCCTCCCCACGTGCATTGTACTTTGTAGGGCATGCGACCATTGCCACGCTTTTTATCATATGGTACAAATCATTCTAATCGACTTATTACAGCAGCTCATATTGGCCACCAAAAATAATCAACTCATAGTGTAAATTGTTGGTTCAAAATGGAGAATCACTTTAGCGAAAGCGATGATATGTAGTCATGCACAGTGGCGGACCTAGGATTTTATGCAAGCGGGTTTAATCTTAGAAGTACATAACTTTAGCGTAAAATAGTAGTTGTCAAGTGGGTTCAAATAAAATATTTATACAAAATTTACGCAGCTTTAATCGTAATTTTTACATATACACATTATTATATTTTGCTGAAGCGGGTTCAGTTGAACCTGCTTGCCACCACGTGCGTCTGCCACTGCTCGTGCAGTTGGGAGTATATATAGAAAATGAAAGTTATCTTCCTTTATTAAGGACATCCGGGGTTTTATCTTTATCTTGATCTTTCTCTTCTCTATATATATATCATGTTGTTCTTGCTGTATTTTAGCAATGTATATCATGTATGTTTCCTGTATTAATAATTAGTCGTTCCTCTTTCGTGCTTTTTTACTAGTAACTAGTAATACTAACTAATATTCCATATGTATGTATGTATGTATATATGTATGTATGTATATTTCTACTTCTAAAGTAAAATTTATTCACGAAGTTTACTTCCATAGGCGCTGCAACAATTAATTAACACTAAAACTAAATGAATTGCTAGACAAGATCAAAAAAGAAATTGCTATAAGGTGTAAATTATAAGCTTTATTTGCCTTTTGGGCCTTCACTAATTCTCCTGTGATATTATCAAAACTTTTCACGAATAATTTAATTTGAAGAATATAAGTAGGGTCTTCACGTGCATGTACCAAAAGCTCTAATTGCTAAAACTAATCATGCCTGTGAGGTTGATAAACAAGATATAGCAAGATGAAATATTTATGAATGAACTATTATCTGACAGGCCGACAGGGTTTCAGTTTGACTAATGCAGGATAAAACTATGAATAAAGTATTATATTCTGTTTATAATTTATCATACGTATACGTACGTCAGTTAATAATTCCATTATATGTGTCGTTTAGTGTCAGGTTTTAGTTTGACAAGATTCCAATTGACCAAAAAAACCACAAGTAATGATTTAATCTTAGTTTCCTTATTGAAGAGTTACATAAAACAATTTCGTAAGTTAACATGAATATATGATGCAGGGAATTAGTTTGCGTGTAACTCTTCGGGGTTAGTTCTTCACTTTTATACGCGCGACACATTCGGACTATGCATAACTGTATTGATATTTATCTTAGATATACGATAATTGCTTGAACCATAAAAATATACAATTTTAATATAGTTCTATGGGTCAGAATCCGACCCTACGATAATTAGCGAAGCTAATCCCGTCTTAAGCTGATTCATGATTAATTAGTGGTACGATCACTCAGAATTAACTATATTCAACCCTCATCTGATTCGACCAACAAGGCCACGGCCCATCCGCCACCATGAAGGCGAAATCCCAACGTGGTCACGGCCACTTATTGCCAGCTCACGAAGCTCACAGCTATAAATACCAAGAGAGGAAACCCTAGAAAGGGGGCTTCTTCTTCTTCTTCTTCTTCTTCTTCACTATTAACGAGAGAAAAAAGAGATAACGAGACCCATATTATGGGCAAGAGGAACACCATTGTAAGGTTCTGAACCTCTTCATGGAGAGGCAAACCAAACCAATATTATCAATAAAGGCTCCTAATGTTTCTCCCCCTAATCCTGAGTACTTATTTTTGTCTCCTTCATTTGGTCCAATGGATTATTGCGTTTTGCTATGATTTTCCCGTGATTTACTTATATTGTTTTATACTCATAAGATATGCGATAACTTTTGAGCAAACAATTTGGCGCCGTCTGTGGGGATTTTCTAGCAAAATCGCGTAGTTCTTCCCTGGACCAAAAGGAAAGAAACGCCAAACTCGAAGGGGAACTCGAAGATCTCAAATCAAGATCTAAGTCCTCTCTCTCTCTATCTCCGATCTCAGATAGTGCAAACAAAAAGAAGAAGCCCCCCCCTAAGGGAAGGTCTCTATAAGGCATCTCCCACATCCCTGATACGAGCTCCGGCCAGAAACCGACACGGAGATATCTCGAGCCGAGAGTCGCCTCAAGAAAGCCTATATACCCTGGTTGGGAAGACAACGGATAAGCCGCTCAAGGTCTCGAATCCAAACCGAGTTTCAGCACCAATACCCACAATATGGGACTCAGGCCATGAGCCTTCGTCATCAAGATCGACAAAGTTCGACAACAGTTGAACTGGGACTCAGGCTACGCGCCTTCACCATCAAAAATTGACAAAGTTCAACAACAGTTGAACTGGGATTCAGGCTATGCGCCTTCGCCAGTAAGTTCAACTACGGTTGAACCAAGAATCAGGCTATGAGCCTTCGCCAGTAAGTTCAACTACGGTTAAACCAAGAATCAGGCTATGCGCCTTCGCCAGTAAGTTCGACTACGGTTGAACCAAGATTCAGGCTATGCGCCTTCGCCAGTAAGTTCAACTACGGTTGAACCAAGATTTAGGCTATGCGCCTTCGCCAGTAAGTTCAACTACGGTTGAACCAAGATTCAGGCTATGCGCCTTCGCCAGTAAGTTCAACTGCGGTTGAACCAAGATTCAGGCTATGCGCCTTCGCCAGTAAGTTCGACTACGGTTGAACCAAGACTCAGGCTATGCGCCTTCGCCAGTAAGTTCAACTACGGTTGAACCAAGACTCAGGCTAAGCGCCTTCGTCATTAAATCAAGGCTATGCGCCTTCGCCAAGAAGTTCAAATACAGTCGAACCATGACTCAGGCTATGCGCCTTCGCCAATAAGTTCAAATACGGTTGAACCATGACTCAGGCTATGCGCCTTCGTCATCAAAATTGACAAAGTTCAACAACAGTTGAACTGGGACTCAGGCCATGAGCCTTCGCCATCAAAATCGACTAAGTTCAACAACAGTTGAACTGGGACTCAGGCTATGCGCCCTCGCCATTAAATCAAGGCTATGCGCCTTCGCCAATAAGTTCAAATACGGTTGAACCATGACTCAGGCTATGCGCCTTCGTCATCAAAATTGACAAAGTTCAACAACAGTTGAACTGGGACTCAGGCCATGAGCCTTCGCCATTAAATCAAGGCCATGCGCCTTCGCCAGTAAGTTCAACTACGGTTGAACCAAGATTCAGGCTATGCGCCTTCGCTAGTAAGTTCAACTACGGTTGAACCAAGACTCAGGCTAAGCGCCTTCGCCATTAAATCTAGGCTATGCGCCTTCGCCAGTAAGTTCAACTACGGTTGAACCAAGACTCGGGCTATGCGCCTTCGCCATTAAGCCAAGGCTATGCGCCTTCGCCAAGAAGTTCAACTACGGTTAAACCAAGACTCAGGCTATGCGCCTTCGCCATCAAAATTGACAAAGTTCAACAACAGTTGAACTGGGACTCAGGTTAAGCGCCTTCGCCATTAAATCAAGGCTATGCGCCTTCGCCAGTAAGTTCAACTACGGTTGAACCAAGATTCAGGCTATGCGCCTTCGCTAGTAAGTTCAACTACGGTTGAACCAAGACTCAGGCTAAGCGCCTTCGTCATTAAATCAAGGCTATGCGCCTTCGCCAGTAAGTTCAACTACGGTTGAACCAAGACTCGGGCTATGCGCCTTCGCCATTAAGCCAAGGCTATGCGCCTTCGCCAATAAGTTCAAATACGGTTGAACCATGACTCAGGCTATGCGCCTTCGTCATCAAAATTGACAAAGTTCAACAACAGTTGAACTGGGACTCAGGCCATGAGCCTTCGCCATCAAAATCGACCAAGTTCAACAACAGTTGAACTGGGACTCAGGCTATGCGCCCTCGCCATTAAATCAAGGCTATGCGCCTTCGCCAATAAGTTCAAATACAGTTGAACTGGGACTCAGGCCATGAGCCTTCGCCATCAAAATCGACCAAGTTCAACGACCAAGTTCAGCAACAGTTGAACTGGGACTCAGGCTATGCGCCCTCGCCATTAAATCAAGGCTATGCGCCTTCTCCAATAAGTTCAAATACGGTTGAACCATGACTCAGGCTATGCGCCTTCGTCATCAAAATTGACAAAGTTCAACAACAGTTGAATTAGGACTCAGGCTAAGAGCCCTCGCTATTAAGTCAAGGCTATGCGCCTTCTCCAATAAGTTCAAATACGGTTGAACCATGACTCAGGCTATGCGCCTTCGTCATCAAAATTGACAAAGTTCAACAACAGTTGAACTGGGACTCAGGCCATGAGCCTTCGCCATCAAAATCGACTAAGTTCAACAACAGT